AGGCCCTTCTCTTCGTCCTCTTCTACGCCTCGGCCATGGTCCTCTGGCCTCTCTACCAGTTCGACGAGAGGTATGGTGGCATCCCCGAGCGCAGGAGGGAGCCCGGCTACAGGAACAGCAGCATCCACAGCGTGTGCGGCTGGGAGCACTGCCTGACCATGGCCATCTGACCGCCATCAACCTGCTGGCCTACGTGGCCGACCTGGTGTACTCGGCCCACCACCCGGTCTTTGTCAGGGTCTGAGGCGCTGTCCCGGAGCTCCCGATGCCCTCTTCTCTGCGAGGGTGTCTCTACCAGGTTCTGATCTCCTCCTATGTCCTCCCCCTGGGGCTCCTCTCCCATTTCTGTCCCCTACTCCCCTCCCCACACCTACTCTCTGCCTCATCGCTTCCTGCGTCTTTGGATGCCCACACCCTGTGTTGCCTTTCTCTCCTCACTCTCTCCTTTCCTTCCTCGTGGGTTCTTTCCTGGCCATCTGCCTTGTTTGCTTTTTCGCCTGCCTTGTTTCCTGTGCCACTTCTTCCCATTTCCCTTCTTCTGCTTTCCCCGGGAGCCCTGGGACTTCTTGGTCACCCCCCACTGCCACCCCAACTCCAAAGGTGCTGAGCTCCACACCCGACACCCCACACCCCACATAGCAGCTGGTCAGACCCAAGGTCCCCTGAGGGCCTCATTGCCAAAGCATGTGCCCACGCTGGCTGTGCCTTAGCAGGCCTTAGCAGTGTGTGTGTGTGTGTGTGTGTGTGTGTGTGTGTGTGCGCGCGTGTCCTGGGGATGGGAGGGTAGCTAGGGAGGAGGACTCTTTTCTCACAGTGGAAGGGGGTGTATAGTAGAGCCTCCCCTTTAAGTAAAAATAAAAAATCCCTGGAGGTCAGTTATTTCCAACTAGAGGCCTGATTCACGAAATTCGTGCAAGGGGCCCCTCGCAGCCCCAGCTGCCCAATGGCCCCACCCACTGGTCATTTGGTAAGGTCGTCCCAGCCAGTCCAGCCTAATTAGCATATTAGCTCTTTATTATAGAGGACTAGAGGCCCGGTGCACAAAAATTTGTGCACTTGGGGGGAGGGGGTGGTCCCTCAGCCTGGCCTGTGCCCTCTCACAGTCTGGGACCCCTCGGGAGATAACGGCCTGCTGGCTTAGGCCTGCTCCCGGGTGACAGAGGGCAGGCCCAATCCCTAGGTGCAGCCCCTGGTCAGGCTCAGAGCAGGGCCAATTGGGGAGTTGGGGCGCCACCCCCTGTCATGCACAGAGCAGGGCGGATCAGGAGGTTGCGATGCCACCCTCAGTCACGCTCAGGGTAGGGCCGATTGGGGGGTAGGGTCACTGCCCCCTGTCACACTCAAGGCAGGGTCGATAGGGAGGTTTCAGCGCCACCCCTGTCACGCACAGGGCAGGGCCAATCAGGGGGTTGGGGTGCTTCCCCCTGTCATTCACAGAGCAGGGCCCATCAGGGGGTTGAGGAGCTCCCCAAGGTCACTCACAGAGTAGGGCCGATAGGGCAGTTGGGGCACCGCCCCCTGTCACACACAGAGCTGCAGGGCGATCGGGAGTTTGGGTGCTTCCCCCTGTCATGCTGATCCTGGTGCCGGGAGGCCTTGCGGCTCCGCTGATCCTGGTGCTGGGAGGCATATCACCCTTTTACTATATAGGATAGAGACCTGATGCACACGTGGGGGCTGGTTGGTTTTCCCTGAAGGGTGTCCTAGATCAGGGTGGGGGTCCCCACTGGGGTGCCTGGCCAGCCTGGATGAGGGGATGATGGCTGTTTGCAGCTGGTCACACACCCTTCAGGGTGGGGGTGCCCACTGGGATGCCTGGCCAGTCCGGGTGAGGGGCTGAGTGTTGTTTTCAGGCTGGCGGCTGACTGTAGCTCCTAACCACTCCTTTTTTTTTTCTTTTTTCTTTTTTATTCTGGGCCAGCTTTAGCTCAGAGGCTTGGCTCTACCTCTTATGCCTCCGCTGCTGAAAGCAGGTATCTGGTTTGTTTGGGTTCTATAATCGAAACACTATTTCAACTCCAGCTCTGAGATCCCAGCTGGCTAAAAGCAGATTTCTGGGGGTTTGTTAAGCTTCTATATTTTTAACAATGTTTCAAACTGCAAGCTCAGAGGCCGTCAAGGCAGGCGGGAACGTTGGAGTCCTCCGGCACTGAAGCAAGCAAGCCTCATGTTCGCTTCAAGCTGACTGGCTGCTGGCCGCCATCTTGGCTGGCAGGTAATTTGCATACCACCCTAATTAGCCAATGGGAAGGGTAGCGGAGGTACGGCTAATTACCATGTTTCTCTTTTATTAGATAGGATGGGCAGGAGGCTTACCTCACAGACCCTGGGTCCTTAGGCCTCACCTGGCATCCAGTCTCCCCAGAATTTTTGCCAGGCTTACCAAAGCTCCCTGCCGATAGGCTGTCTCAAAGGGACCCAAGGACAGTGGCTGCCTCTCCTCCTAACTGCCCTCTGGGTACCGAGCTGTCTGCAGTATTTGCGGGGGGCAGGAACATGGGGCTCTGGCCTCAGTATTAAAAAGAGCATGTGCCCCTTTGCTGGGAGGAGAACATGGCCACAGCGGCCTTCTCTGGGTTGTGAGCCTGGGTTTTTTCTTTTCTTCTTCCTGTCACAGGGCAACAATTACTGGATGATCCTCTTCTTAAAGGGGAAGAGTTCCTTTTTTTTTCTTTTAGTTTGTGGGTGGGTTGGATAGGTGGGGACTGCTACCGCCATAGAGGAATTGCACTGCTTGAGTGTGTGAGACACACACATGTTTCTGTGTGCTTAGTCACTTCCTGCTGCCGTTTCCTGCTTCTCTGGGACTCACACGCCTAACATGATATATATAAATGTATAAATACATATATATATTTTTAATTCCCTGGAGCTCTGGTTCCCACCAGCCCCTATTGTCATTTAGAGAGGGAAGCCTTGTCCCTCCCCCTGACCCCCACATTCATAATGTTCTTTATTTTATTTTTTACCTCAATATAAAGATAAAAGGAAGAAAAAAATAGAAACTCTCTTTAATTCACATAAAGATGCTTTTCACAGATATTTTTGTTAATAGAAAAAGTGACATTAAAAAGTAACATTAGAAACTCCTTGAGCCATATCTACACTGATAAATTAATTTCTTTATTTTAAGCTAGAATACATCACTGGGATATGATAGGAAGAAATATATTGCTCTGTGGAGCAAAATAATTAAATAACATTAAAGATTTTCTGAGGAAATGAAATGGATAGACATAATAATTTTTCAGGGTACAGATACAGTTTATCTCATACCAGTGGTTTTTCCCAAAACTAACTCTAATTTAACACACAGAAAAATTTTTCTGTAACAAAAATATGTTATGACCAATTAAAAATATTTTACAAATTTTATTTCAGAAATCAAAAGTTGTTTTTGAGATATTATATAATTAATTAGCAAAACGTGTCTAGAATAGGAATAGGGAATAATACCTATTTAATCAAACCATAGAAATCTGAGAACAAAAAAAAACCCCACATATTTTCTAAACTATGTTATTCTTATGCTATTTTAAATACTGTTCTCTTTATAAGTTACCCAAACTGAAGACTAATTTCTATTTTGGTCCAAGTATTAAAAACCATTTCTCTTCAGCTTATTCAGGATCATATGAATTCACCTTAAGGAGAAAGAAATGGACCTGTAGGACATCTGAGAGAATAAGTACTAATGCTTGATATACAGTGGTGGAAAATACTTACTGTACAATTTCTCTTTGCTTAATTTTCTTCTTCTGAAAAAAAAAATAACCTTGTTTTTCTATCTAAGTATCTCATTCTAACTTTGATTCTTCAAAAGTGATGGGTGAAAGTTTAAAAATAAATCCTTTTATAACATTTGTTTTAAATCCTTTAAGTTCTTAGTAATTCCTTTTTTCTTTATTACAAAACAGAATAATTTTCAGGAACTGCATTATTTTATCTTGATTCTCTAGCAAACATATTAATCATCATTAAATATGAATAAAACAAAATTATGCTTCTGGTTGTTAACAATATCATAAAATGCAAGGTGCTAAATTCAGAAGGTTAAGATTTTTAAATTATTTTCAGTGATCATAAAAGGTTAAATTTAAGTTTTCCACTTCTCCCCACACTTTGGAAATCCAGGCTGATGAGAAAGATAATTTAGTGGGTTGTCACTAAAAAAAACTTATGCTAACTCTTACGCTTGAAAGAAAGAGGTGGGTGTTAACAACTGGTAACACATTACTGTACTACCATTTACTTAATTTTCTTCCTCTTCAGAAGTTTTTTCTTATCTGTCATTAACCTTTAACTCAAAGTAATTTAAGCAGCAATTGAGAAAATGTGTAGCATAATTTTTCCATAATCAAGTGTCATATGGAAACCTGTCAAATAATAGACTGGTGAACAGAAAAGAATTTTAACAGTTTATCTCATACAAGACACTTATTAATAAGTACATATAAAAATAAACATATGTGTAGATGCACACATATATAGTTAATAGCTGCATACAGTGATTTATATATTATTTCCCTCTGTTTATCTCTTTCATCTCAATATAACATAAATTGCCACCTACTATAAAGTGATAGAATCTAATTGAGAACTAATGTCTAAATATATAGTGATAATTTAGCAGCATACTAAGAAAATTTAATGGTGCCTTTAAAATAATTGTATTCATTTATATAATAAAATTATTAATTTTATTAAATACTAGAGGCCCTATGCACAAAATTCATGCAAGGGGGTCAGCCCTCATAGCCTCGGCTTCCTCGGCCGGCCCATGCAGCCCCTCCTGCCCCAGCCGTGGCCTCTGCCAGCAGTCCCTACCCTGGCTTCGTCTGGAAGATCATCAGGAAGGTCGTCCAGACAGTAGTTCTGCTGTTCGGTCTGATTAGCATATTAGCTCTTTATTATATAGGATTGTTATTCTTTGTGTGACCACAGCTACCACAGGCTGAAGCAACATGAGTATAAAGTAGAATTGAAGTAGAGTGTATTAACAAGGTGCCATCCAGGACCTTTCCATATCTGTTATGCAATCACAAAAGCCATTTCATTGTTATTAAAGACATTGTAAAGTGCTAAATTTATTACATGAATATATATCCATTCTTAAGGGCGAAAGGGAAAGCAGGAAGAAGCCCGCTGCTACTGACAGTGATCGGAAACC